AAAAAAAAACAAAAAAAAAAAACATTATGCGCTACAATGCCTCCAAGTAATGAGACACAGGAATCCAAATAAATGCATTACATAATACAGTTCTTATAATGGAAACGAGCTGAATATTTAACAACATGATCAGTTAAAACAAGAACGTTTTTCCATTAACAACAAACTGTATGCTCATTTTTTCAGCCCATAAAGGAAGTTCGACTGGAATCATAAACAACTAATAAAACAAAGGAGGTGTAGTAGACTACAAGCAAGACAAGCACTGCAAGACAGAACTGTGGATAGACATAAAGAAATGAGTATATCTAATAAGACAAAACCAACAAGTATTAATTCTTGGGGTATGGGCTCTACTGCTGATACTTCAAAGCACTTGTGAATGGACATCAACATTCATGGTTGATAATTTTTTAGTTTCTTAAGTGTCAGTAATTTTATTCGTTTTTGTTTTTTTAGAATTATTAATAATAATCTCTATCTTTCTATTGTCTTTCTCTGCCTAATGCTCCTAGGCATTGCAGGCACAGCAAATAATTAGTTTCTAGAATAGTGCGTGCTCATTAGCTTGCTGCGTGTTGATATTGTTGAATTTCACCAAACTGTTAATAATATAGCTCAAAAACATGGAGATAACTGATCCTTAAATTAAAACAGTATCTGTAATCGATTATCTGAGCAGTGCAGCATGGAACAGCTATTGTTGCATGTGTCTCAGACTAGGATTTTTTTTTTTAACCTTTTATCATGAATCAGAAAGCCTTTACATAACCACTGAGTTACAGGTCATGTCATCAAAGAACTCTTCTGCTTTAATTGCCTGTAAAGTTTTGAAATGTATGGGAAACAGACAAGTATATCTGTTTTAATCAAGACTATGTCAGCTTTATTAAAACAGTGTGAACAATCAGAAATGCTGATCAAAATAAGGTAGTAAGGCAGCATCCGTAAAATAACCTAAAAAATCTGTTTTGAGGACTAACTGAGTGCTAACTGACCTGAACTCAGACAAATGAAATGACCAGAGAGTAGTGCTGAGTGACCAGAACTGGGATGAATAAAATGACCTAGAAGTGCTAACTGACCTGAACTCAGACAAATGAAATGACCAGAGAGTAGTGCTGAGTGACCAGGACTGGGATGAATAAAATGACCTAGAAATGCTAACTGACCTGAACTCAGACAAATGAAATGATAAGAGAGTAGTGCTGAGTGACCAGAACTGGGATGAATAAAATGACCTAGAAATGCTAACTGACCAGAACTCAGACAAATGAAATGACCAGAGAGTAGTGCTGAGTGACCAGGACTGGGATGAATAAAATGACCTAGAAATGCTAACTGACCTGAACTCAGACAAATGAAATGACCAGAGAGTAGTGCTGAGTGACCAGGACTGGGATGAATAAAATGACCTAGAAATGCTAACTGACCTGAACTCAGACAAATGAAATGACCAGAGAGTAGTGCTGAGTGACCAGAACTGGGATGAATAAAATGACCTAGAAATGCTAACTGACCAGAACTCAGACAAATGAAATTACCTAGGGGTAGTGCTGAGTGACCAGGACTGAGATGAATAAAATGACCTATAAATTCTAACTGACCTGAACTGACAAATGAAATGACCAAGATGTGCTACCTGACCAGAACTGAGACAAATGAAATGTCCAACATGTACTGACTGTCATACAAAAGATTTAATATGACGCAAGTCAATCATCCAACAAATAAGTAAACTGTATGTAGAATCTGTCCTCCAAACTTATAAAGGCTAAAAAGTTGATCATTTGCCCAAAATCTGAATGATAGCTTTGTTGAAGTGCTATGAACTAGAGATCAATACAAACAGATGGTAATAATGAAGACAGTGCTAACATAATCCCTGTTCATTACACTAGCAGTCTTAACTCAATAACTATCAGGCTAAAAATATGTCATGGCAGATGCCATCAGAATGAAAATGGCAGATGTCATTTACTTCATTAACCATCAGCACACACCAAAAAAAAAAATTGCAGATGTCCTTTATTCCATTAATGATCAGAGAAATTGGCAGATATGATTTACTTCATTAACTATCAGACTCAAAAATGGCAGCTGTTATTTAATAAACATCAGCCTGCAAATGTTATATTAGGTGTCATTTACTTAATTTCCCTTCAGACTATAATGTGGCAGGTAATTTATTTAATTAAACATCATACTAAAACATGGCAGATGTTATTTACTTCATTAACCATCAGACTAAAACATGGCAGATGTTATTTACCTTATTAACCATCAGACTAAAATATGACAGATGTTATTTACATACGGCAGTTGCTATTTACCTTATTAAACATCAGACTAAACCATGGCAGATGTTAATGACTTCATCAATCATCAGACTAAAATATGACAGATGTTATTTACATATGGCAGTTTTTATATTTACCATCAGAATAAAAAATGGCAGATATTATTTACTTCATTAACCATTAGACTAAAACATGGCAGATGTTATTTACTTCATTAACCATCAGAATAAAATATGGCAGATGTTATTTACTTTAATAATCATCAGACTAAAACATGGCAGATGTTATTTACATATGGCAGTTGTTACTTACTTCATTAACTGAGACTAAAACATGGCAGATGGTTTTTTTTACTTCATTAAACATCAGATAAAAACATGCCAGATGTTATTTACTTCATTAATCATCAGATTAAAACATGGCAGATGTTATTTACTTCATTAACCATCCGATTAAAAAATGCCAGATGTTATTTACTTCATTAACTGAGACTAAAACATGGCAGATGTTATTTACTTCATTAACTGAGACTAAAACATGGCAGATGTTTTTTACTTCATTAACTCTTTAAGGACCAAGCAACGGTGTGAGCGTTGTTTGAGAAGTTCCGTTTTGCCCTAACAATGGTGTCATCGTCGATCGTGTCCCGTACATTTTTCTTTGCACACGCCTCCGTACTAGTTTCTAATGTTCGGAGGTACGATTAAACTATTCAGGGAAAGTCACTCTGGGGAATTCTTTTTAGTTTCATTTCCTAGCCTTAACCAAACGTGCGTAATTTAATAGAATTAACAGCGACATTTTTTTCAACAGTGCATTTTTTAAGTTCGTTTTCGAGTGCCATGAATACCAATGTTCCAACCACAAGTACAGGTCGCAGAATGCGTCTTTCTGCGGCCGAAGCTCCGAAATTGTTTCAGTCAGATGTTTTTAATTCTGATAAGGATAATGAAAATTTAGATTTCTCGGAAAGTGATTCAGTCGGTGATTTTTCACCAGCGAAGCTGAGACGAGCAGCTGTTCTGAATCTAGCGATTCTGATGAGTTTTTTTACACAGACAATGTCCCATTGCTGCCGTATTTATGGTGTAAGAGAAAGAAAGTGCTCTAAACAAAGAGATTGTACTATACTATGGCTAAGCTACATTGAAATCACTGCAGTTACAGTCTGTATATAACTGTACAAAGTAAATAGTAAATAGCGTATGTGTGTAATGGCTCATTTTTCGGCCATTTTTTCTCTGAAATTATGCTCAGCGCTCTGTGAAAACTAAGAGCCCCTGAGTGCTAAGCTAACTCAGAAACTTATTATAACTTTGGAATTTGTTAGGAAACTGAACAAACTTTGAAGTTTTGTTCTCAAATTTGGATATTCACTACTCTTGTTGCTGCAAAATCATAGTAAGTGAAGAATTTGTTCGTAAAATGTTGTTGTTGTGAAATTAAAACCTGCTGAATTCTTCTTTCCTACTAACTATAAACAAATTAAACATACACTTATCATCAGATTCTAAATGTACATTCATTTCTCTTTAAAAAAAAATTTACTTTTATTAGGATTAGAAGTATATTACATTCTCTATTACCTTTCTTGTACACCGACCCCTCTGCCATTTTTGTAAAGGAAAATTTAATGTGGGCCAAGTCTGTCAAAATGCATGGGCCTGAAAGAGTTAACTGAGACTAAAACATGGCAGATGTTATTTAACTTCATTAACCATCAGACTAAAACATGGCAGACCCTGACTTCATTAACCATCTGGATTAAAACATGGCAGATGTTATTTACTTTTAACCATCAGAAAAAAAATCAATGTTATTTACTTCATTGTGAGACTAAAATCGTTATTTATCTCGTTACTGAGACTAAAACATGGCAGATGTTATTTACTTCGTTAACTAAGACTAAAACTGGCAGTATATTTACTTCATTATTTGAGAACCAAAACATGGCAGAGGTCATTTACTTCCACTGAGACCCATACGTTATTACTTGTAACTGAGACTAAAACATGGCAGACGTTATGTACTTCTTAGACTGAGACCAAAACATCCCATGACGTTATTTACTTCATTATGGACCAAAACATGGCAGAGTTCCCCTTACCATTAACTGCCATGGCGAACGTTACTTAAATTAACTGAGACTACAATAACTCTTTGACTAGTATGGCAGATGCAACTTCACCATATGCTCGATGGCAGATGTTTTTTACTTCTTAAATGAGACTTAAACATGGCAGACGTTATTTTTCGTCTTTAACTGAGACTAAAAATATTATATTAACTTCATTACTCTATCTAAAACTGCAGTTATTTACTTCACTAACTTCTGACTTACAGTGTTGTTATAACTCAAGCTAGCCAAAACTGTGCAACTTATTTATCAACAAAGGACAGTTAATTTGGTTATAAATCAGCACATAATGTATTTTTTGGTACCCAAAGAGACAATGCAAATTTTCTCACAAAAAGTGTACAAGAAATTATTTGCTTCTGCATCAGACTAAAACATGGTAGACGTTATTGACTTGATTAATTTAGCCTAAAACATGGCTGGTTATTCAATTTGTGACAGTCGGCAGCTTCCGGTGGTTAATGAGTTAATTAAACCTGCTGGTACACAAAACTCAGGTTCCTGTGTTTATGGCATCATTTTGTTTTTCCTTCTAAAACAAAAGGCTAAAATAATCAGCAGCATCAGGACTGCATCTTCTGTCCTTTCTTGCCCTCAAATGCTTCATGCATAGTGAAAGCTGAAAAGAAATGTATGTAGGGCATGATTCTTTTTTAAATGCATGTAAAATATTTAACTTGTATAAAAGCTTGGCTACTGAAAGGCAGGTAGTGAAGTGGTTAGACACTTGCCTACTAGTCCAAAGGTCTTAGGTTCAGTCCACACTGAGAAGGATTTAATAACTGACCCATGGTTCCCAGTGTGATTCAGCCCAAAATGGCTACCTGGATTCAATTTGTGGCAGTCGGCATGTCCTAGGATATAAAGGCAGCCAGTTTAGAATGGACTGCTAAATCACCTAAAATCATCAGTGCAGCATCAGGTCTACAAGTGCCCTCAATGCTTCTGGTCTACAAAAGAAATGTATTCTGTTATGTAGGTCTATTCTTTTTGCCAACTGCATCTACAATTTAACTTGTATTAAACCGGTCTACATAGTGAACCAGACACTTGGTCTACAAGTGCCACACTGACCGGATCTAACAAGTACCAACCGGTCTACAAGTGCCAACTGGTCTACAAGTGCCAACCGGTCTACAAGTACCAACCGGTCTAAAAGTGCCAACTGGTCTACAAGTACCAACCGGTCTATATAAATATAGGACTAACACTAAAAACCTGATGCTCAACTGGCGTGAGGCGTACAAAGGGTCATTCAATTGAGTAATAGTCAGTCAAACAAACCAACTAACTGTGAACAAGCCACACAAGGCCACCTGGTATGAGCTGGTTAAGGACCTTTGCTCCATTGGGGGATGAAGGGCAGAAAAAGATGAATTATTCTTCAATCCTGACTTCCCATAGGACTGCTAGTTACACCAGGCTGGTGTAACCATTAAAGATGCCCAAATTATAACTTCTTTTCAGGCTGAAAATGGTATCTGGAACTGCCCTGTTGGTTTGTCGTCCAGACTGAAACTGTAATCTCAGGGTGTGAAACCTTCAGCTTGCATCCCACAGGGAAAAACTGCATGCAAAAAAAATATGCCCAACCTTGTCCTTGATGTTCTTCCACATAAAGTTTTTCACCCCACCAAATGATTCATCATCTGTTAGCTTCCAATTGTCAAAACAAGTTGTTTTAATAATCATCTGTGTCGAAGTCATAATAATAAATAAATATGGATCCACATAACCAATACCCAACAAAGAATTGTATAGTTAATTGTGTAGTTAGTTAATCAAATAAAAAAATATTATTCCAAACTCACTCAAGGCTTCAAGGTCGACCCATCCTTACATGGGTAGCATGAATTAACTTAGCAGGTCCAAGAGTGTGGGGTTCCAGAGCCCCAGAAAGTTAAAAAAAAAAAATTTTTAAAAGAAGAATAGATCCACTCAGGGCTTTTTCTAGAAAAGAAAAGGTGCAGTTACAATATTGTGTCTAATAAAAAGGTGCCAATATGCACTGTATATTACAGTAGAGCTGAAAAGATAATGCCTAAAACAATGTGCAGGTACCGTGAACCTGCTACATATCACCAGAATAAAAGCCCTGGATCTACTGAGCCTTAACATGCATGTTGTCATCAGTGGGTTATGATAGTTTTACTCAAAACTTAGTCAATAACACTGCACTGCAAACATATAAATTCTTTATCTTATTCTCACAGTCCAAGCTGTGTGACACTGGTTGTCATGTTAGCGCTCCGACATTTGTCTCACTACTTGTCCTCATTTAAAACTCAATTGTTAACTTCACTATGGTCGCTAGACAAGCTATAATAAAGTTAACATAGATTTACCTTTGTAAAACATGGTGCTAAAGGCAACATTAGGTAGCAACTCCTGTATCTTTGTTAGGACAGTTGATAACTCTTTCAGGCGAGCATAGCGATTCCAAACTACAATAAGATCATCCCTTTCCCTAATACTGACGCTGACTCCAATAACCTCATCATCTGCAAATTTGTCAGAAAATGTATATTGTTACTGCAAGACACAGAAGACTGGGTACCTATGAACACACTTCTTCTTTTTCTTTTTTAAATTCGGTGGAAAGCCCTGGTTTTCTCATCTACTTTTGGACTTTGGCCTTTTTCTGGACTTGAGTGTTGCATACATACACACACACACACACATTTGTTTTACAGATCACACACATCTGTGTGCAGTTTGTTGGCTTACAGATCTCTGGCTTATCTGTGTACTTCAAAGGAAATATCAATCCTATCTAAAACGCAGAGTACATTCTTACTTCAAAGGAAATATCAATCCTATCTATAATGGCCAGACCCCCTACATTCTGACTTCAAAGGAAATGTCAATCATATCTATAATGGCCAGACCCCCTGCATTCTGACTTCAAAGGACATGTAAATCATATCTATAATGGCCAGACCCCCAGCAAAGTGGTCATGGCATTTGCCTCATGCTACGATGGTTGCAGGTTCATTTCATGGTCAGCTGGAGCTACGGATTTCATGCTTTGCACAATACTATCAGCTGGCAGCAAGCTGTTTTGCGGAGACATAACAAGCTATATGGGATAAAACCCAGTGCAGTGAAACTGATCTCAGTGCAGTGAAACTGATCTCAGTGCAGTGAAACTGATCTCAGTGCAGTGAAACTGATCCTCTGGGCTATAATTGCCGAAAGGTGTAGATAGATCTTGATCAGTATGAGCTCTGGTCCTGGTGTACCATCAGGTGCGGTTCAGGACATCTGCATCCTATAAACACTTCCATATTCAGCATTTTCATAATTCATGCCAGGTGGCACTGGGAATCATAAATGATGTGAAAATAGCAGTGATTTGTAAACAAGCTGACAGCAAAGAATAACAACACAATGCAAAATAATACTGAAAAAAGCTCCATGGAGGGAAGGGAAAAGATATTCACAGATACAAGAGAATCCTTCTACATGTCTTTAACAATGATCAAAACAACAGGAATCATAGAACAGTCTGAATAGTTTGTTTTGTGTTAATTTATTCATTAGTCTTCACGACTGCTCAGCTCTTTCCTACATGTACAGAAAATCATTTCTGATGTCAATCTCAGCTACTAAACTTGGCACAAGAACCTACACTCAGCCATTCAACACGATATCATAACCAAAAGCTCCTGTAGAGCTGGCTCCTGCGAAAAGTCTCTCTGGATCTGGTTAAACGTGGACAGTTTTCTTTTTTTTTCTCCACCAAATGATGATGATTTTGATACTGATGTTCGTCAAATTGTCCAACATACTCTGACATGGTCTTCCTCAGGCTCTTTTCTCATTTAACACTCCCGTTTTTACAAAATAAACCACCCCAACCCCCATTTCAGATGCCTAAAAATGCGCCATGTTTTTTTTCCTGATATCGATAATAATCAGCTCTCGCTATGTGATATACAAATTATTACGCTTTTTTATTTGATCATATCAGAGAAACAGACACTGAAAGTTATAAAATGGGATGAGTTCAAGCAAAGCGAAGAAATCACAGAAACTTCTGACATAAAGATTTGACACACACAAAAAATGGGCAATGAAATTAAATATGGAAAACAGACAGACTGAGGAAGATAGCAAGTTCCACAAAGCTCTCTGATGAATGTTGGTGGGAAAGGCTAAATCTGCCAGACTGGATTCCAAACATTATAGTGAAAGGATTGAATATACGTGGATCTCTTCTGTATATTGACAAGCATGTTATAATGGGTAACCAACTGAGGGTTTGGAGAAACTGGATGTCAAGAAACTGACTGCCTTGTGTTTCAGATAAAGGGCACAAAAAAATACTGATGCTATTTTGTAACTGAGAAGACAATGTGCCAATTAGAGAGGAAGCAAAATTCAAACTTTTAAACAAAGTAATTCAAACTTTTAAACAAAGTTACAAATGAAGAGAAAAATCAAACTTGACTAGAGAAAGATTGTTTCTAGCAGAAAATTGATGACTGCAGATTAAAACAGTATTCAATCAAATGAAAACTGAAGAAACATTTCTGTGTTCTGGAAGGTTGGGCAACATCAATGTAGTGGGACAATAGCACTGACCTTATCTTTTTTCTGGTGATCATGTGGGACAGCAAACCATGACTGCTATGCTAACTGGCATGACATATGATGATGATGATGATGATGTAATTTATGATCCTGACAGCAGACAGAGCCGAGAAACAATCAATAAGTTACTACAATGAATAAAACAGAAGTGTGTAGAATCATAAATACTGACAAAGATTAAAGGTTAAAGTCAAAAGGATCGACATTCATTGCACTTGGCTTGATCCCATATGGCTCCAATTCTCTTCGCAGAAGTGCTGGCCACTTGCCACACGAGTGTCGCACAAAGCAGGAATACCACAGCTCCATTTAAAATTCCATAGGGGGTGGGGGGAGGGGGGTTCTCCATAAAAACAGCTTGACCACTTCATCATGGAGGAACAAACAATAGTTAATGAAAACGTCATCATCATGTACCATGCCAAAAAGCATAGGCAGGATGATTCTCCATCTCACAAAATCACCAGAATTATGGATCAGCTCAAAATAGAAAATGTACAACAAGGGGAATCATTGCGGAACAAAAGCAAGACGGCTACTTTTCTTATTCTTCTTGGCATTCACCGGCTGTAAACTCTGGTGCAAAGTTCTGGGTTGTTTGTCCACTTCTGCATGTCGGTCTTTTTCCAGAACTTCAGTTTGGCTTGCACATCTAATTGACAGATCTGGCTTATTTGTATGCAGACTGTTGATTTCTGACCTCTCAAGCATATGCACCCCTTGTAATCCCCGTCCCCATGCGAGACGCAATTTTTCGTTATTTTAAAGCCCCACCCCGGCTGTGATTAGGGGCCCTAATTATAACCCCATGGGTTGAACGGGGTTTCTGGGACCTGTCCCCAGGTGATCCTCATCCGAATAGTGGCACGTTGTGTCACCGGGTGTTTATCACTTGGTATGATGTCCTGATGAGGTTAAACATCAGTTAGTCAAAAGCACCCCTAATAAATCGTTTATTATGACATGCCTGATAAAGGGGTGGTGGGTCTAATAACCCCCCACCCCCCACCCTCCAACCCACCTGCGGGGAGGAAGCAACTAAAACTGACAACATGGAAATTTCAGAAGAATGTTATTTCAATCTCCTTCCTGGTTCTTGTTCATACATGTTGTTCTGCATTTCAGAGCTTGTTATTTACAACTTCAGAATTAATTTGCATCCAGTTTACACTCTAAACAGATTCCAGTCAGGGTAATATATTCTCTTTATCCATGGATAGGTTTTAACTACTTTAAACTACCTAACAACTTTTGTCAAGGCAGTGGCCTTGCAACGCAATCTATGAAATTGTCAACTTTTATGAGATTTTTTAACATGCACAGTTCATTTATAGGGTGTTTTTTTTTTTTTTCACCAAAGATGGTTGGATATCTGATTTCACTCCAAAAGATGAGGACTATACATGATATCAGAAACAAATACTTTTTTATACAAATGTGCCCTATGCTGGGATTTTAGCCCAGTAATATATGTCACTGTCTTCGGCTTAGGCGTTGCGAATATAATCTGTAATTCTGAGGTGCTGGATTCGATTCCAGCTATGGGTGCTTTGGCAGTAGATCGCCTTGCATTGGTTTTGACAACGGTATCGAGAGCCAACCGTTTAGGAAGCAATGGCAAACTAAGTTAAGTTAGTTGCGTATCCTTTACAGGACGTTGCAGAACCAACCCCAGCAATTTTTGGCTGTTATGGTTTTTCTAGGTAAGTTTACAGAACATATTATTGTATAGAGAAATCATAAACATCCTGTAATGAATAAGTAACTAAATTTTTTATTGTTTTTTTTTTTTTAAATACATGAGCCTGTAGCAAACATTTAAACTTCTCAAACATGCATCATCTTTATTTTCATTCAAAAATTAGCAGCAGCAATAGCTGACTGTGGGTGGAACTGAACATGCTAGCCTAGGAGCTGAAACTTGCAACAGCATCAGGAACACTTGATAACATTAGGAACTTATAACATGACGATAACATTAGATCCTTATAACATTACAAACATACACTAAACTTAGATAACATGTTTAAGACAGAGAATGTGACCTAATGAGACAATTTAATGTCTCCAGTGACATACCTTCAGCCATACAATCTGTAAACTGCTCGCCAATGGCAGCCAATAGGAGCTGCCTCCATACATCTTCCTGCCAATGGATGAAATAACAATGTTCTAATAATATTCTGTCACAAACATATCGCCCCAAGACAACAGAACAAATATAGCACACTAATAAAGCTGCTGTGAATAAGTTACAGAACACTACTTGCAGAAGTGAATTATTATAACACAAACTATGATTAGAAAACAAGTGCAAAGTATGAATAGGAAACTCAATGAAGGGAAGAAAAATGGGTGGAAATATATAACCATAATTTGTCTATTAAAGGTTTTATCAACTAATAAAACAGCAGCCTACAACATATATCCCCAACTTATTTAGGTTTGAGGGTTACTTTTCAAAACAGAATGACTGTAAATCTACTTTACAAGGTCCATATTGTATACAGGCAGTGATTTCTTAAATGAAAAGACAAATGAAAAGACGATATGACAGAGGTTAATGCAGGCTACCACCCCACACGGCTTGTCGGTTGACTAGCAGATCACAGATAATGCGTTGGATACACGTGATCTTAAAATCACCAGTACTAAAATGCAAAAAAGGGAAATTAAACATGTTTGTTTATATTATAATTTATATTATTTTACTGCTATCAACGGCTTGGCAGACTGATTGTAGCCCACTGGATTACAAACATCACTGTAAAGAGTTCAATCTGGAAACTTTTTTTTTTTTCCCCTCCAAAAGGTGTTTATCCCAGGGTAACCCAGACAAGAACACAGACCACAAAAGACTTAAATCCATGACTACCTATACTTATCCCACCTATGCATGGCACATGATGATGATAAAATCTGAATATGAAAGTCTTTTACAGAGTTAACATATTTTCTATAATTTAAAACTACAGCACAATGAATAAACAGCTAATGACAATGTCTTAGAAACAAAGACATTAAATACACAACAGCAATTTTAACATTAACAGTAAAAAAACATAAGACAGCAGGGGTACAACTGAAGAAATTTTCACACATACTGTATCTTGTTTCTTGCACTTCAGGGTCCAGCTTCCTCCTTCGCTATTTTCTTCATCTTCCCTGCGAACAACTAAAGCAAATCAACTGTTTGCAAAATATAAACAGTTTATTCTATTACCAGTATTGGTCCAATTTTTGGGACAGAAAATAGAGGGTCTCCTCAACTTACGACCAAGCTCCATTCTAACAGGTCATAAGTCCAACTGGTCATAAGCTAAATTGGTTGTAAGTCCAATTTATATTTTTTGACACCCTATTCATTTAAGTGGATTATAAAAATTGCATATAAAACACAAAAATGCTATCTACTTGTGTCTAATTATTGTATATAATGTGACAAATACACAACATGTACTCTACTGCAAGAATTCCAGGAATTTGTTGACCCTACCAAAATGGTTATTTACTACTTTTGTTGTTGTGTGGTCATAAGTGCAGAGGGTCTGAAGTCGCATAGGTCGTAAGTTGAGGAGAAGGTATATTAGATCAAAGACCTCTGCTGGTATAGCATACTACAGATGTAGCCTCCAATTGGTTACGCACAAATATTTCATTAATGCTGTGGAGACTAGCATACCAGCTGTCCTACTTTACCTCCCAGACAATCTGATACTGCCTGGTTCTTCTGAGTTAACCTTAACAGAGCAGCTGGCAAGTTGCTTGGTGGTTCCCAGCTAGGCTGTGATATTTTTCGGACCCAAAACATCTGTTTTCAGCAAACTCTTAATTAGTCACTTTGACAACATGCTTGTTTAAGAGAGGGGTTGTTGTTCTATTTCCCCTAAACTGGGACCCAGAACACACAAGAGGACTTCTGGTACCAATCTGATAGAAGCTGCAGCAGCATAACGGTTAGTCTGCTTGCCTGCGGAGTCACTGGTCCAGGTTTAATGTCCAGAAGTAAAGGGGTTTTTTCCTTACCATTACGGTTCTTTGGTGAATCCAGCTGACAAAAAAATAGCCCCAAATCATTTCCAGAGTTTTCTCACTGCAAAGAAAAAGCTAACAGGAAGAGAACTGGCCACCTCATAAGTAGTTTTAATAGTGCAGACACAAACAACCAATTCCCCATACCTTCCTTGAACATTTCAAAAATAATATGATGTAACTGCTGTCTTCTATTACAGACAGGCTGTAAATCTCTGTATCGCAATTATTAGTTTGAATACTTCTGCCTCATGGTGTCTTTGCTGAACTCCTTTAGGCTTAGATATTTACTGATTTGACCTATAGGTTAGTTGCGTATCCTTTACAGGACATTGCAGAACCAACCCCAGCTGCCCCTGGCTTTTGTGTGATTTTTCTAGGCAAATTTATGTCCAGTAGTTTGCCATTGCTTTCTGGGCGGTCAGTCCCCTGATACCACTGTCGAAACCAACGCAAGGTGCATGGCCCGCAGCTGGGAGCGAACCCGGCACACCGGCATTATGAAAAGTTCGCATCGACTTAGCAACAGAGCCGACAAATTGACCTATAAATCCTTGGAACAGGAGGAGTTAAAGTAACAAATGCTTGGGACTGAAAATGTTAATATGGGTAGCAGAAAAAATATTCAGGAATGTGAAGGCGGTGCAATACCCCTAAAATTATCTTCCTAACATCGCTCTACGTTTAATAGTAAATGTGGTCTAAACACTAATGTTTGCACAATCAAAATATGCTATGCTCTAAAAAGTAAATGTCCAACTTGTAAAACTTACCAAACAGGCCTACGCTCTTCCCTCATAAGATGATAACTGTACCTAATATTTAGTTTTGATGGTTGAGGAATGTGATTGTATACACTCCAAAATCCCTGTAAGAAAACAGAGGGAATTACAAAATTGTATACAAGTGCTTGCATTTTTTTCTGAGTGAGGGTGACATAGAGACTTTTCTTCTGTCCTATTTGCTCTGTGGAGACCGTTCTGCAGAGCTCTCCAAGTCCCTCCTCTAAGCCAAGAAACTGGCCAGGTGTACATAACCGGTAATGAAACCGCATCTTAGAAGAGGTAAATCAAGATGAACATAAGGTAGCTGCAGACTGGCTGAGATGAAGCATTTTGTGTTTAACCCTTTCACACTGGTGACCTAGAATAAAACACAGCCAAGTTCATGTACTTCCATTTGTCGAAAATTCCCAAAAAATAATCCTTGGAAAAATTTGTGTTTTACACATATGACCAAAAAAAAAAAGACATTTAAGATCCATTTACCATAATAAACATGAACAAATACTATACATATAAAGTAAAGGACCCTTTTCAACACCCTTAGGTGTATTGGCCAGATACAGCTAGACCTATTTTATAAATCAGTCGGCATTTGGTGGGTGATCTGGTCAGCATCAGGCCATCTGCCTTCACTTCCCAGGATTACACCTGGTACCCACTCAAGAATGGGTCGACCTGGGAGTCGAGGTCATTTCGGGAAAAAAAAAGTCTGGCTCCACCAGGGCCCAAACCCACGACATTCTAATCAGCAGGCAAGCTAGCCGCTATACCACAGTGACTCCCACTATACACAGTAAGGGGAGTAATTAATCAAAACAAATGCAGCAAAGAAGTGATCAGCTTAAACTTACTGAGGACCTGTGAACTAACTGTTGCACAACAATTACGTGACCCTGTGACATTCACTCAGTAACCACAGTAGTTAATGAGGAAAATATATGTCATAGGAATTTCTATAAATAAAGCCAATTTTGTTTTGCAGGAAACCCCCATTAAATGGGTTTTTTAAGAGCAAATTTAGTCATCCCCTGTCACAGTGAGCATTTGCACAGACGCAGATGTAATGATAGTTGTCCTGGGAGGGATGCAATTTTTCGTTACTTGAAGGCCCTCCACCCAGCTTTTGCCGGGGGCCCTGAATACAGCCGGGTCATAAATATGGCCTAATGGCTGAAACGGGTTTTTGGGACCACTCCTCGGGTGATCCTCATTTGCATGGTGGCACTTTGTGTCACCGGGTGTTTATCGCTCGTGTGATGTCCTTCCTGGTGGGGTACAACGAGAGAGGGAGGGAGAGAGAGAGAGAGAGAGAGAGAGAGAGAGAGAGAGAGAGAGAGAGAGAGAGAGAGAGAGAGAGAGAGAGAGAGAGAGAGAGAGAGAAAGAGATGCAAAAATTCTGTTAGCTAGACATCTCATAAATGTCTCTAAAGCAAATCCAGAAAGCGGCTCTTACGAGGAAATGGTACCAATCAGATAGGTACGTTTTGTGGCTTCTTGGGGTGAAATGGTTCAGTTATTTCCCTGTCAACAGACGCCAACCCAATGTCAGGGGAGAGCAATGGTGTAAAACAGCAGTTATGCTCCCCTGTTTGCTTATTCTCAACAAGAAGACACACATATCCGTCCCATTTTTAGTTCATGAAATTTCACTTCCTTATTTAAGTGGTCAGTTCTGAGGCCGAATGTGATTAATTAAAGTTTACAGATGTTTAAAAGCGAGAGGACTGACTTTATTGCATTCAGGTTTTATCCTTCATGGCTCGGTTTCTCTGTAAAATGGTCACCCAGGAAAACTTTGCACAATGCACCAACTCGATAGCTCCAGCTACAACACCCAGCAATCTCTGAAACACCTACAGTAACAATCTAAAGCTCTGTTTGAACATAAAATTGTTCAGAGCATGAGGCAGGCAGTTGATAAATTCACCATGAAGATTTCCACATATACACACACATTTTTACCTGATCATCTTTTCATTACTCTCTATGTGGGTACAATGGATCCATTTTGGGGAGGGGGGAGACTTACTGTCCCCTTACAAGCACGCTGTAGGAAGTGTTTCCCTCAAAGTCAAGAGTGCAAGGAACCAACAGTCTGCACACAAATATGCCAGACCTGTAAAATGGATGTGCAGGCAAAACTCAAGTTTTAGAACAAGGCCAAAGTTCAGGAGTGAAAGAATGATCAGAACTTTCTGCAGGAGTTTACAGTTACAGAGGCGAAGAAGAAGAAGAAGAATGAAACAAAGTAAGTACTAAGCAGACCCATTATGATTTATGTGAAATTAAGGCACACATTCGGCATCTGCAGATCAGGGGTTCTGAATGCAGTTTCATAATGCTGACACATAGGAGTTTAAAGAAAACTGCAGGGAATGAGGTTGCAGACAGTTTTGCATTGGTTGTATGAGCAGAATACAATTTAGACTGCAACGACAAATTAATGAATGCAGAATTTCTTTGCTAAAACCACACTAAAACAAACACATGCTGGGACTAGTTTTAGACATCGTGTAAAGGACATGCAAATAATTGTAAGACATGCTTTTTTAAATATATCACTCACTTGAACTGTGTCAACAGTATAGATTTTCATCAGAGAAGATTCATACTGTTTGGCTGTTGTACCACGGACAGATCTAATTAGAAAAATAGTGTGATTGTAACTTAGCCATTTGTAGTGAACAAATAATTATAATAATAATTAATCTTATCCTGTGTACATCTTGTCGGTATCTGTGGTTTAGGCATTGTAAATAGGTTTCGGTGTGCGGGGTTCGATCCAAGCTGCAGGCGATTAATAGAACACCTTGCATTGGTTTTGACAATGGTATCGAGAGCCGACCATTTAGAAAACAATGGCAAACTACTGAATCTAAGTTTGCTTAGAAAACCACAACAGACAAATATGGTGGTGTTGATTCTGTAATGCCCTGTAATGTACAAGGCCCACAGCTGGGATTAAGCCTGGCACCCCGGTATTAGGAAATGACTAAGTCACAGACGCTGAAATGTTTAAATGGTAAAGAATTGTTTGTAACAAAATTAAGTAAAGCAAGGGTTAGGTATGCACCTGAGAGGTATGCACCTGAGATCAACAAAAACAGTTTTCTTCTTCTTCAGGTTCAGCAGCTAAAAACTCAAGCGGAAAGTCCTAGCTGCATATTCACATTTGGACTTAAGTCTCATTCCATGACTTCAGTGTTGCGGCTATCTTCCAAATAACGGTCCCAAATTATCAAGGCCGAAAATTTACACTAACAGGGCCTCATTCACCTGTCAATTGTGGACTTCCGCCACTGCTGAGAGTATCTCCCATGCCGCTACGCGCGGACTGGGGCTAAACTAGATGGATGGGACTCATGAGCTAATAAAAGGAAGCTGCAGTAAAAGGAAGCTGCAGGAGATGCCGAGTCCCAGCCATCTAGTTTAGCCCCAATCCATGCTGCATGTAGAGGCATGGGAGATAATTTTGGCGTGGCTGCAGTCGCCGGAAGTGCGCAATTTAAGTCGCTGGAAGTCCGCAATTAACACATGACTGAGGCCCTGTTAGGGTATATTTTCGGCCTCGATAATTTGGGATCATTATTCGGGAGATAGCCAGTGTTGCTAACACATCAGTTTTACAGATTTGGCTAATCTGTATGCAGACCAATGGTTCCTTGGCTCTCAAGTAAATACACTATGAGGAAGAGTCAATCCTTTCTCTACTGGCCAGGTCTCCTAGCTGGCAACCTGTTTCTTGAATGACCTTTGAGAGGTGTCACAAGTCAAGTTTAAACCCTGGTCCTTATGCACCATCACGTCTGATTCCGGATCTCCCCCCCCCCCCCCCCCCCCTAAAGTCCATATAGGCATTTAGACAAATATTTAACTGCATGGAGTGACCAGAAGATAATATCTTTATATTTATAATGTAGGATATTTTGTCACATAATTTTAGTTATATTATATTTTTGTTTTGCAGCAAAGAGGTATCAGTTTTTACTACAGTGATGTTTACACATCTGATGCCTAGGTGGCACTTCAGGCATTTACCAATGCAGAAAGACACATAAGTAGTAAGTGGATATGATAGATCATACTTTTCTGTCATTCAGCAACCGAGTTTTTTTTTTTTTCGCCTGACTCAGCAAACCGATTTTTCCCACTTAACTACATCAAAATAACTGGTAAGGTAAAAGTAAAGGAACAAATATTATATTTACACACATTCCTATTTCCGTTTATAACTGACGAAGAAATTTGAATGACGTATTATTCGTTTATATTATTTTAGTGCTACCAGGCTTAATTATAAATATAAACTGTTAGTTACAGAAATTGCATTACAAAAGGAAAACTGTAATTATACTTTAACATTATCACTGACATTATCTTACGACAGAACGTCGTCGGACTGCTGCACTCGGAATTCCGTTTCTGCTGAGGGAAGTAAAAAAAATGAAAAAAAAAAATTAATATTGTACCTATCAACCCAAAAAGTCCACGGTGTGTTCAGCGGTTCCAACGGTACGTTCTTAGATTCCCTAGCAACCGCTTCACTCATTTCATCAACATTGTTCATTAAATCAGTGCTATTGTCAAAGTGTGTATGGTCGTCAAATTGTTGATCAACATTAACGGAAGCCATTGTGAACGACACTTATCACGTGACAAAAACATATGACGTCAATGTATGTCAAGGTCGCTATGGGTATAAAGGCGTCTTTTTATTGTCTTTTGTTTTCTATGTACTGCATACTTTAATAATTTTTTTCTTTAACTTTGCCTTAAAGTTTATAACCAAAAAAGTGTTCATTCTATATTAAATGTATCAACATGTGTACTGTATAATTCGTTTAATTACTGTCCAATGATTCTTTACCTGCCAGTAGTCTGTGGTTCGAATCCACATTGAGCAATTTTTTTTTTTTTTTTTAAAGAATGGCTTAGGATTCCAGCTTAGAACAGGCGCTGAAGTGGAAAACATGTGAATTGATGTGGTGAGAAAGTCCAGATGGAAAACATGTGAATTGATGTGGTGAGAAAGTCCAGATGGAAAACATGTGAATTGATGTGTACGCGCTAATGGGAGACTATTCGATAGAGGATATCGAAACAATTCCACAGTATGTAGGCTAAGGGAATGGGAGAATTGACTGCGAGCCCTACATGCCGTAATTAGAAAAAAAAAAACACGCAACATGATGGTGATGACTGACTGATTTCCAGGTCGAGCTAACTAAAACTGGCATCAAGAAATTTCCGTGGGTTAAAGTGGTATGCATAATATTGATCATTTCACACATGGAGGGTTGGTCACTGGAGTATCAAAATAAACCCAAAATGCCTTAGTGAATGTAAGCAGGTTCCATACTTTTACTTCTTAGCTTGCGCTTTTGTCGAAAACAGTTGGAATTATAGAACTGACATGAAACAAGAAAATGAGAAAATTATCAAATGAACAAATAAAAATCATAAATCGTCACTGGGCAGCCGAAAATCAGTGAAGAGTTCTGGTTTAGTGGTTAATTTTTCTTGTTGTTGCAAGGTCATGATAGACAGCATTAGATCTACCTAAAGGTAAAGGTAAAGTCGGGAGATGTGAACCAGCGTCACTGCACACGGTTATAAACCATAAGTGCTCTGCCACCAGTACGGACAGCTGATAAGAATTGTCCGCCTGTGTCGTCGTTCGAACGTAACTCTGTAGCTACAGCGACGTTCCTCCATTTACCCCAGAGTATCACTCTGGTAGCCATTCCCTAGAGGCTGGGTGAACCCCGGGAGCCGCCCGGTTTCGAACACCGACAGTGGGCTGCAGCGAGTCGCATCTGGATTTGAAAGCGAGCTTCTTATCGACTGCGCTAACGCAGCCTACAATTGTGTTGATAAAACTGTCGCAATGCGTTGTGGGTGCAGTGGTATAGGAATTTATTAGTTTTAACGGAAGGAGTCAACTGGTGAGTGTGTAATATGTCAGTGAAATTCTTCTACACATAAATTATTTCATTTTGGGATGCTGAAGGGTTGTTTTTTAAATAGGACAGGGTCAGACCTCAATTAGCACGGCTGAGCAATCCGTTTCTGACTGCCAACAGCATTCTCACTCATCCCCAATAAACCCTTTCTGCAGTCGTGTGTCCGGTTGAGCACACATACAAGGTCTGACAATTAGGTAATGAGATTTTATTATGGCAAGACAAAAATGCCATCTATGAAGCAAAGCATGTAATCTAAAGAGGCAACATTCATTTATAATCTGGCAAATTGTCATCGCTGCTCAATGAGCAGAAAAAAAAAAAGCTGCTTTTTTGTTGACCTGGTCAGAGGTGCATTGTTTCGTAATCAGCACTGTGCAAAAGGCTAACATTAAATTTCTTTTTTAAAATTCATAAAAGGCGCAATTGAAACTGTTGAATTGATGCAACAAGTTTATGGGGATGATTGTTTATTTCGTGCACAAATTTTCAGGTGGTATTCACGATTAAAAAGTGATGTGGAAATGACTAATAATGCACCTAGACCTGAACGCCAAATTTCTGTTCATAATATGAACTCACTGCAAAAGTCAGAGAACGGATAAACGTAAAATTTGCCTTAAAATTCGTTACACTTGATAAACACAGATGTAAGTCATTTTCTCGAAAACTGCCTGTTAGATCGCAAAGATTTTTTGCATGCAGCCTTAGAATATCCATGACGCAAAAATAATGTCATTTTTTTTTAGTCCATAAAAGCTCAGGATGCTGAATATTAGCAAATTTCTTGGATCTTTTTTAACCATAATAGTAAAAAGTAAACCAGAAGTTCCAACCATTTTCAGGTGGCGCCCCTTGAGTATATGGCAAGACAACCCTTCTCCTTCCCTATGTTTAACAAAACAAAATGTAATTTAAAAGAAGAGGACAAACATAAAAATAAAAAACCCAAGCACTGTTAATAAAAAAAGAACTTAGAGGGGGAAAAACATACACGCTTTAAAGTGTAAAATACCAACAGAAGTATTTAAAAAAAAAAATTAATGTCCGAATATCAGTGTGATTGTTTTGTCTTGATGATTATATCTGTCTGATGATACGGTATGACTGAGATCACTCTCCATATCAAGATCACTCTCCATATCAAGATTGCAGTGGCTATGCTGTTTTATTTTCATGACTGTTAAAGCGGAATTTCAGGATTATTAAAAGTGCAAATACAATCAATTTTAAAAATTACTTGACAACTTCTATTAAACCTTACCACGCTCTCCCATCCCCCCACCCCCAGGTTTGAGACCACTGTACAACACTATTTCCATGAGTGTTCCGGTGCCTTTTGTAAGGGGTGGGGGTGGGCATTTATGCAAACAAGCATGTTATAAAAGTCAACTTATTATGGGTGTTTCCTTCGATGTTGGGGTACATCAGCATAATAGGCGAGGAACCAGTAGCCATAGAACAAATATTGACAGATCTATAAATCTGCTTTGCACGCAAAATTGAAGTTTTGGAGTGAGATCAAAGTCTAAAAGTAGGCGAACAACCAGTACTTTCCAACCAGAGTTTACAGCTGGTAAATGTGAAGAAGAAGAAGAAGAAGAAGAAAGGAGGAGAATGAAGAGGGAAATAATAATAATGTGCTCGAAATCGTCATCAAATAATTAACAGGTCCAAGAGTAACTTCCTAATGTATATGTAAAAGATAAAAGCAATATTATAATCACAAACCAGATCAAAGCAAAATATGAAACAATACAAATTACATGTCGGTCATATAAATAATTACGCGAAATATAAATGTGAAATAACAAATACATACACTGAGAACTCAATTAACACTATTTATTCCAATTTTAACACTTAGGCCTGAACAAGATAATTTTTGTTATTGAAAAATTACTACTACTAAAAGTCAAAAACGTGCCTTATTCTATAAATAAAGATAACGTTAATACTTTCTAAGCGTGTACATCCTTTATGCTTTATGTAGTAGGCAGCAATTTTGTAAAGCAAATAAAATAATGTCAAATCCACACAGCTGACATTTAATTCTGTGGATAAAATGTATGTGGTAGTTGAAACGAAACGTAAATACATTTTTTTTTAAATAAAATGAAAAATGAGTGCCTCTCCCACAGTTCTAAAGTCGGGAGATGTGAACCAGCGTCACTGCACACGGTTATGAACCATACATACGTGCTGCCGCCAGTACGGACAGTTGTGACAAATTGTCCGCCTGTGTCGACGTCCGCACGCAACTCCGTAGCTACAGCGACGTTCTTCATTTACCACAGAGTTTTAGGCTGGGTGAACCCCGGGAACCGCCCGATTTCGAACACCGTCCGTGGCCTGCAGCGAGTGGCAGCTGGAGTTGAAAGCGAGTGTCCTTTTCGACTGCACTAACGCGAACCCAGTTAAAAAATACCGGTTCTCGACCAATCTCTGAAGTCAAGCAACATCGAGCGTGGTCAGTAGTTCTGGTGGCTTGCAGAATACATTGTTCAAGCAATGTTACCCTACCACAAAGTATGCATCTCTTTCTGAAACCGTCCCTCGGGTGCACCTTTCTACGGCAATCCTTTATTTCAGCCAACTTTCTGTCACAGCAAGGACTGTGTCTGATCTGACTAAGCCATTTAAATTTACTGTCCCCTTCTTTGAGCCAGATGCCGACCTTGTGTGCATAGGGAATTCCCTGTGTCAGTGTCTTACATATTTGTGGTCATTCGGCATGATTCTTCCCTTGTCGCACTCTCTCCATCTCCCGATATATATATATATATATATATATATATATATATATATATATATATATATATATATATATATATATATATATGTGTGTGTGTGTATATATACTTAAATAAATATATAGTCATGTGTGCTGCACCAGCAAGCAAGCGGTGGCAGGTAATGAGTGTATGTGTGTGTTTTTTTTTTCTTTTTCTTTAACTACTGCGCGTTTGAGAATGCGTGCTGAATTTTAGTAATACAGTGAGGTAGTATTCTGGCTACGGGACACCAGTAGCACACATATATCTTCGTGTAGGGAGTCGGCAGTCCAAAACCCAAGTTCAAGGTGTCTCCTTCGTGCCAAAGAACTGCATGGCTGTTGGGTGAACAATCGTTAACGAAGGCAGTCAGGTCGTTGTTGGTGCGAGGCTTGCTGGGGGATGTAATGTCCTAAATCCCTTCCCCAGCTAATAGTAGGGTACTGCTGGGGTGACAGTTTTTAATCCTCACATAATGCTTCATGTCCAAATGAACACTAGGCACTGCCATTGTTTTGAGCCGAGGCAAAAATGTTTGCTTCTGCCAGACTGTGGCCGTTGCTTTTTTGCTCCATTTGTAGACTGGAAGTATATAGTTTCGTTGCCCAGCTTCTGAGTTAAGTGCATGGCGTGACACTGTGAGCTGCGGATTTCATTTGGAATGTTTTTCCACTGACCAACGTGGTGGTGTGATTTGTAGATTCGGAAAATGGCGCAATGCCGGTTGTCGCAATATTGGAGGGGCCATTATTTGATTAAAATTGATCGCGCAATGATGAACTGCATTTCTAACGCCGGACTGTTTGTGTTAGCACTTCGGATGGCTACCATATGCTTTTAATGCGAGTGTATGCTAGATTTGCTGAGACAGCAGTTTGCCAGTCTTTTCACAAGGG